AAAAAGATGTGGGGAGTTATGATGAGATCTTGCATGAAAGCACACATAAACGGGCCAATGGCATGCGAAGAAGAAGACTTTGATGAAATTAACGATAAGGTGGCATTTTTGTTATTATTTTAAATTTTTTGATAAATTATTTGTCTTCTTAAATTTAAAATTCTAATTCTATCACTCACAATAAAGGATATGACAGTATAAGATAATTATTGAGCTACTCTCATATGGCCTTTAGATATGATGGTTGGAAGATAGAGAATTTATTCTTTTATTTGTTATACTATAAAGATTATAAATATATGCTCTTTAACAATTATAAAGTTCATGACAAGGTAGTTTTCTCTTGGATAAGGAAGTTGGGTTTTACAATTCCTTCTATAAAGTTTTCAATATCTAAATTATGAATGTAGAAGCTCCAAGAAATTAATAAAATGTTAACAATAAGGATTTGGTGTATATCTAAAGGATGAGTCATAGTAACCTTTCAAAGATTTTAGGTCATTTGCACTCAAAGCTAAAACTAATTGCATGGGATTTGCCTAAGAGATTTGGGGGAAGAACGCTTAAGGGCATTTTAAAAATTTGGGTTCCTCGTGGTTAAACACGGTTGCTTAAAGTGATTTAGGGATTTATAGGGGTAATTTGGATATAATGCCAACCAAAAATTTAGAATTTTGACTTAAGAATGTTGAAGTGGGATTTATAGGGGTATTTTGAAAATTTTAGGCTACTCATGATTGACTAGGGTTTACCGTGTGTAGAGCATGATTCCAAGTGATCTTTTGGAGCCCAAGCCCGGGCTTAAGTTCAAGGTTTTAACCTAAAGGACCTAAATAGGAAACCTTAGAGGCAATTTGGTAATTATGTCTTTCATGGTCAAATGGGTTGGACCATGGATTAAACATGTTTGGAAATGACTCTAATATAAATTAGAGTCATTTCAAGTCAAAACCAAAGACAATGGACCAATTTTGGATGTTTAGCATGCATTTAGAATTGCTTTGGGTAGATTTTGGTCAAACTAGCAATGGCCATGGACAAAGGAGTTTGATCATGATTGAATCTTAAGTAAAAAAAAAAATCCTAGAATGGGTTAAGAGTGTTTAGACTCAAGTTTCAAGCTAAATGACCACTTTTGAATTTTTTAGGTGATATAAAGTTTAAGTGTTGACTTTGGTTAAATCACCTTTAACCAAAAGTCAAAGGGGTTGAATAAGATTCCTTAACCCTTGGGAGGATCCATAGTCTCCAAGATGAGATCTAAGATCAATGGCCACCTGACTTAGGGTTTAGAGCATTTAGGAAATTTTGATTGTTTTTTGTGATTTAACCTGAGGTAAACTTGGTGAGGTTCATCACCTTTCTAAGATCACAAAGGAGTATCTTAATTCTAAGGTGTTTCATAGTGAATCCAAGGCTAATTAGGCTATGGGTAGTCCAATCAAGGCCATAAGGCCCATCTATGATTCACTTGGGATTTGTAATTTTTATTTGACTCCAAACTTTCACAAATAAGATTATGAAGAATTGAAGTGCTCCCAATAGGTTTCCAAAGGTCCAATGGAATCTTCTAGATGTCCTCGACATCTCCTAAGACCAACTAGTTTTATTCTAACCTAAAAGTTGTAAGGGTCCTATCCCATGGTTTTTAGTTCTTAGAATTAGTCATAGCTAAGTCCATGGAAATCCACCTAAGAGGGTCCTAAAGGAAGTACCCAACTCTTAAGGAAATAAATGTAATAACTAAGGCTAAGCTCTAAGATGAGAAAGTCAACCTCATTTAATTTCTAAATAGAAACTTTTTTTTTTTGTATTAAAGACCAACTATTTTATAAACTAAATATTCCCATAGATGATTCTAAAATCAAATCTAAAGTTTAATCCTTTCTTGATATATTCTACAAATATTCTCTTTTATTAGTGAGATATGATTTATTAGATTTTTGGAAGATAGTGTTACCTAATGTAACACTGCCGTTGCCAGGTCCCAAGTCCTGGATGAGAAAAGTTGTTGTTGTTGTAGTGATTCTTAATGTTGCAAGTCAAAGTTCTTCCCAATTATAATAAAATGTAAGCACGTTCTTCCATCTGTTGGCACTCATCACCACTATAGATTAAAAAAAATGAATTACTACTATAGATGGAAGAAATTGAGATAGAATGTTCTAGTTAAACTTTATTATGCACTAAGCATATCATGTCTTTAACATTATGGCTTCTTGTGAAAATATCAAATCCTAGATGAAGAAAATAATATGTGAAATATGTGAAGGGATTTCTCATGAGACAGAATTTTCAACATGTGAAAGTGGACCTCGATGGTGAAGAGAGATTTGGAAGACATGGCATGTTCTTGCTAGAGGGGAGTCCGGTGGAGTCCGACGGAAAAGTGCATCAACAATTGTGCAAAGGAGAAGCCTTTAATGGAAGTTAACAATATGGTGGTATTTTTGTCATCATTTAAAAGTTTAAGATAAATTATTTTATATTCTTAAATTAAAAAATTATAATTCTATCATTCACAATGGAAAGGATAAGACACAATAAGACAATTACTGAGTTCTTCTCATATGACCTTTAGAAGTGTTGGATGGAAGGAAGAGAATTTATTCATTAATATCTGTTATACCATAGAGATTATGAATATATGCTTTGGATAAATAAAGTTGATGACATTCATAGCTTCCTCTTTGGATAAGGATGTTGGATTTTACAATTTAAATTTTATTTGGGACGGCTTTTTTATTGCTTCTTAAAGGCAGTATTCTAGTACAAAAATTTCAATTTTAGTACTAGAAAAATGCTTTAAGAAGCAGTAAGAAAATCCCGAACGAAGAAAGTTTTTAATGTCCAACTTTGAACATAGAAGCTCCCATAAATTATTTTTTTATAATGATTATTATATATATATAATATAATATATATATATATATATATATATATATACATATGTATATATATTTCAATAATAAACAACTGGTTAGAATATGCCTTAAAATCATTGAATTTGTTTTGTATTAATGTTATACATGAATAAATTGTATTGCACTCATCTCAAAATAAATAAAATGGTCAATGTAACAATTTGGATTGGTGTATTCATCAAATGGCTAGTCTAGCCCATCTTAAAGCCGCACTTCATAAAATCAATCAGAACCACCATTCAATCAATGAAACCATTCAAACCAATCTTGAATTTCTTATAGTTGGTTAGTTCAATTGCCATCTTATTTAAATAATTAGATAAATTATTTTAAAAAGTTTAGCACAAAATATTAAGTTTAATAAATTAATTTTAATACAATATATTTTAATTTCTAATCAATATTAATTGTTAATAATGATTATTTGTGAAACAAGCATCAATTAAGCATTTCGCATGAACCCACCATCTCACATGAGTTTGTTTGCTATTTTGTCAACCGATTTACAATCTGGAAGGACATTAATAGCTTGGCTTTTTTTGTTTGCTTTGTATTTTTTTTCTTCTTCTCTCAGTTGTTTTTGTGTCAGGTGGTTTGATCCTTTTTCTTGCTGATTTTGGAGTTTTACTAGTCTTGTCTTTTCTGGCAGGCTCGTGGAACATGTTTGTAGTTCCGGTTGTTGTTGCTTGATCTTGTTGTTGTCACTAGTTTGTGGCTATTCTTCTCAATCGATTTCTAATATGGATGGACATTAATAGCTTGTTTTTTGTTTAGTTTTATTTTGTTTTTGTTTTTTGTTCTTCTTTTTTCTTTTTGTTGGCTGGTGGTTGTTTTTGTTGGCATGATTTGTGAATTTAGTGGATTCAGTTTGTAGATCTGATTGTTGTTTCTGTTGTTGCTTGTTTGTGGAAGATTTTTGTGGATTTGCCTAGTTGGAATCAGTTTTGCTAGACTTGTCTTTGATGAAAGGTTTGTGAACTTTTGTGGAATTAGATGGTGGTTCCGGTTACTGTTGCTACAGTTGCTCGTTTGTGATTCTGATTGTTGTCTGTTGTTGCTTGTTCATGAAATATGTTTGTGGTTTTGAGTTGTTGGAATTGGAGTTTGGCTATTCTTATTTTTGTTGGTAGGCTCGTGGTTAGTTGTGGAATCTGTTTGTGGTTCCGGTTGTTGTTGTTGCAGTTGCTAGTTTGTGGACTCTGTCTTTGGATTAGGTTGCTGTCGTGATCTGTTGTTGTTTGACAATTCTTTGTGAAGGGTGATTTGTTAGTTTTGCTCTCTATTGTATTTAGCAGTTTTCCTACTTTTTTTTTATTTAATTTTGGCTACTTTGTTATGTAGCCTTAGTCTTAGGGTTGGGTTGGTTTAGTTTTTGTCTTGTTTGTTATTTTCTCTTTTCATTGGGTTGTAAGTTTTTCTTACTTCTGTTTGATTTATAT